GATAGCTCGTGTGTGGTGGGAATATCATGTTTGCAAACAAGGATGTTAGAAGTCGAGTTCTGCCTTTCGAGAAGTGGCTGGGTCACATCCTACACATGCCGTGTAAGCGACTACAATGGCGAGCTTCATCGTTTCGCACAGCGTTGCATTGGGAGATGCCGCGTGGTGGCCAACCAACCATATGGCAGCAAGACACCAAAACCCCGACTTCCAGTCTAGCTGTTGACGTACGTCTTTCGAGCTGGGAAGCCAAGTATGAAGACACCTGAGGACATGGTGCGGAATCGGGCTCACTGAAGGATAGATGAGAATGTATGGCTCGATGCTACTAAGCAACATCGCAACCTTTGAATCGACGAAAAAGGAAGAAACGGTGTAGGAAAAAACATGTTTAGTTTCTGTGATTTTCATACTTATCACGCAAAGTAACGAAGGACAATCTGCAACGCTTGGCGGAAGTTAACGCGGACCAAAAAACCCGGTTGGTTTGCGTCGATCATTGCACCTGAAACGGTAGCTCATTTGTGAGATGTGACACGCGGCCTGAATTCATCCATAGTGACCACTTGTGCAGTGGGTGACTGTGACCCGAATTCACCCAGTGATATGTTGCATCTGAATCCAACAAATGCATGACAACTGTACCCGAACCCTCATGGCCTAATCACCTTTTTCTGTATGTGTCAAATTGTGTGCCCATTACATGACCTTAATTAACCCCAGGCCACGGCAAGCCCAATTCGTTATATATCTGTAGAACCCGTATGATAAGATGCCTCCATTTCACTGTGTATTCCATCCTTCGCCTCTGCTTGCGTCCTGTGTATACACTACATCGATATTAATCAATTCTTTGACTTCTGTTCACAAGTGATAGTTACCTGCGCTCAGTTCGCCAATCCTAGTATATAACAGAAAGAACCGCATAAGGATAAAGAGAACGGGTTACACGCCAGAATAACAGACTGTATTTATTTCCAAACTAGTATATTTTGCGAATTTCTTCAGAGAAATAAATAAGATAAACCTCAGCTTACAAGGAAATATGACGAATATTTTAATGGCTCAGGGTAGGTTGTCAGTTTTCTTCGCTAATGGAAGCTATGGCAACGTACAGCTGGTGTTGACGACGTTTCGATGTTCCCAGAACTAAGAATGGTGCACGTTGGAAGAAATGCACATAGCACGTTCACAGATGAAACAGCTTTCCGCTTGTGATCCGTGGCACATTATATCATCAAATATTTTCCTGCTCTGGAAAATATCCAAGTAAATGCTCGTGTGCAAAGACCCTTATCAGTGCAGGAAGGAATATTGCCAGATAATGAAAGTGAAGCCAAAGCACAATTCCTTGGACTGCGTGAAGACAAAATATTGAAAATAGATTGCCAAAACACAAAACCAGCAACATTTTGGGCATAGACTGGTGGCGAGTATCCAGTTATTGGGAAATACCTTGAGAATACTGATCCCAATCGGCACAACTTATAGGTGTAAAAGTGGTTCTTCGACAATGGTGATAATGAAAGAAGCAAAGAACCGAATGAACGTGGAGCACGATGCAGTAGTCGAAACCGCAACAAACAAACGGACATTGTTAGAACTAAGCAATATCAGCCAATCGCTTTACTGTATATCACCACTTGATTTAATAAGACAATGTATAAAAATGAAGGGTTTCTTCAATCGAATGATCAAAAGTAAATAAAAATAATATAGTATTAGTAAAATAGTAATAGTAAAAAGTATAGTAGCTTACAGGGAAATGCAATAGTTAATTATCGTTTTAAACTAATGTTTTGCGGGGGTACTTGTTTATATTGAAGCTGATTTGTGGGTGGCGATCTTAAAAAGTTGAGAACCACTGATCTAAATCATTCGCCGCTTACCCCTATCGTTTTTGAAAAAAATTCCACTCGAAGCCGTCAAACCAAATCGCAAAGGCGGCTAGGGATAACGCCCGAAAGGTGAGCAAAAGTAGAAAGGAAACTAAATTCTTCATCAAGAACCACGTGCCAGAATACGGAAGACAAGTCTACCTTTGTGAACTACTTAGCTTCAGCCGCCAAATATCTTCTAGGGTAGTTTGCGCATAATGCTTTTCATGCAGGACCTTATTTAATGGTTTCGGGTCAATACGGCTGGCTTGCCGAACAACCTCCTCGTGGTGCCAGCTGGGTGGTTCGGGATTTTCCCGTTCCAGCAAATGGTTCGACGGCAGTGTTCCAGGACGTAGTGGGTTTTCGCCTGGCAAGCGTTCTCCCTATAAAAAGCCACATATGTCCGTTTAACAACACTGTGACGTGGCGGACGTGACTCGCCACTAAATAAAGTCACTGCCCCTTGCTTCATCCTGGCGAAGCATTGTATTCCAGCAAGTTGGTGCTGTAATTTCGGGGAGCATTGGGCCCCTGTTTGGCAAAGGAACAAACGAAAGGCGTATGAACTGATCAATCAGTCACCGGCTCCCAATGGGCGCGATTCCCTGAATTCGCTCCGCTGCCTTGCGGACAGGCTATTCAGCCAAAGGCTCGGGGTGGTGTCCCCTAAGTCAACACCCTACTTCGGCTTGGGCAACCGGGTAGTATTTCGCCCTCTGACGAAACCGTGGACATTGTTGTGTTGTGTTTTCTTTTACTATTTCTGTACCTTGTTTTGAGTTCCATGGTATCCGATGGTGCAATGTCTATTCATAGACTGTTGCAAAATATATATATATATATATATATATATATATATATATATATTCGGGTCAATACACACGCGAAGTTCGCCAGTCTTCGTAATGATTACGCCCTGATTAACGCAGTCGGTTAGCTCGACGACTTTAGCAATCAAACCCTCCCTCACTAATTTGCTCAATTCAGTGGAGAGCCTGTCACACAGCGCAAATGGTATTCTCCTAGCCGGTAGCGCAGTCGGTCGTATCAAAGGATATAATGACAAGTGAGTGGTTCCCTCAAATGTTTCCAAACCTGGGGTAAACACAGACGGATACTGCTCACTAATATGGGTCTCTCCGTAGCAAGGGCGCACAGTGAGATCATGATTACGAACGACAAAACAGAAAGACAATCGAATCGATGCCGAGAGTGAGCGTGAGCTCCTCCTTCACAACCACAAACTCTAGCCGATGTGAGGCTCCGTCTCTTGCGTTAACCACTTCGATTGTAGCTAAGCCCTACGGATGAAGTCGAACCATTTCACATGCGCAGACGATCTTGATCGAATCGGATGCACGCGACGAGACAGTGCTTCCTGGGTACAATGTTGACAGTATTACCCGTGTATAACTGAAATCGTACAGCTCTGCCTTCCAACAAAAGACTTGTGTAGACACATTTTAGTGGTACCCTCCGAGACAGGTTGCCAATTTAATGTGTTACGTCTGTGGTTGACTTGTTACGAACGAGCGCAGCAGCGAGCAAAGTGGTTCCTTTTTCCACATTTGACACATTTCCGTCCCAAACCCGGACATTGTCCTCGAGTGCCCGGGTGTCGCGTATCGCAAAATTCAGATCTGTCTCAAGTTGGCAGCTTTCGTTGTTTTGCCTCCAGAAACGGCACACAATGCTGCATCAGTTGCGAGGCTCATTTGGTGGTATTGATAGGTGGTCGAGGACTCATTGTTGGAGCTATCCATGCACTACCGGAGCTACAGGCTGTGTTGTCACAAAAGCCGCTTTGTTGTAACTTCATCATTGATTTCTAGAACGATCCGATCGCGTATGAGACTGTCGCCCATGGATCTACAGAAATTGTAGGACCGGACTAAAATCTTTAACGGATTCATTTGGGCCGGTGCTTTGCGAAAAGAAAAGGTAGCGCTGGCAGGTCTCGTACGTTTGGCCTTCGCAAAATTCACTGAACATTTCAATGAACGTCTCAAAATCATTGGGATCTTTGTCGTAGTGCAATGTCTATCACACGGCGCGCGTCATCCCCGGCTTTGTGTCGAAACAAAGCCAAGCGATACGCCATCGGTTGCTCGTCCGAACGAACTAAGGTGTAGAAACCCATACACTTGCTCCTCCATAGAAGCCAATTACTTGCCAAGTTTCGTTCATCCATGTTCAATGGGACAGGCATTTGAATAGTGGCTGCTGATCCAAACACATCCGAGCGCCGCCGATGGGGTTAGCCTTGGTCTTTTATGACATCGTGTTGCAGGATTCAGTCCTTCAGGGACAAGTGTTTAACCGGCAAGATCAACTCGGTGAAAATTACAGTATGTTTGGCAAGCCAAACTCCTCGATATAAGCTGCACGTTCACGTCCATAACTAACGACAATTCTGAGTCTATAAGGTTCCCCTTCTGACTCAGTTAAACAAACGGCGAGTAACCCACAAGCATGTCGGCCAATCCGTGTCCAGTAATCGAATCCGTTACGCCTGTCTCTCTTTGGCTGTCTGGCTCCCTCGGTTGGTCCATCCGTCTTCTCTGTTATGACACCCACACCCCAGAAAGTGCTACACAAAGGACCACTGAGATGCACAAACCATTATACCGATAGGTTAGACACTGCTGTCCAGTGAGCGTGGCTTACTGACCGATCTAACATAGTGTGAACGCGAAGGGATGCAGGCAAAAAGAGGGCATCTGGCGCTGATATCCGGCGATAGCCAGAATACCCGCAGAGAGGTACTAAAACAATGAAATATGTTGCCGCTAATCCGCCTTGGAGATGATAGCGTCGCGTAGCAGCTTCTTCCAGTGATAAAAGAACAATGCAATCTTCGCACATTATGTGAATTAACTCCTGTATTGACAAATGAGAGCATAATTGGAGTATGCAGCATAATGAGCGGTGAGAAGGCACATAATAGCTGAGTGCGTTGTCCGATGCGTAGCTACTAATGAGAAACGGAGAAGAGTTTGATGAGAAAAATGCAAAGTTGATCGGTCTAAAATGCTCACACGCTAAAAACAAATGCAGATGACGCTAAGGAAAACAAGCTGAAGTTTCAAACGATGGAGCAGAAATGAAGTGCAGAATTACCTGTTTCCAAGTCATGAGCGCTGGATGGTTTGGGACCACCGAACCCTAACTGTCGTTGATTTGATTGGTGCATGCCTTCTATGCCGTCTTGGTGCACATTGAAGAAACCGGTAGCAGGGTAATTCTTGTGATTATTTTCATGAAACCCCACAGAGCGATCGAACCAAAAAGTGTTCCATCTAATGCGCCAATCATAATAAATCAATCCACCATGCAAAAACGAGGAGTTCAAACTCCCCGCTAATCGGTCCACAGCGAAACAGATGTGCCGGCGAACGGCCAGAGCAAACTGCCATTGACACAGAAGTCCGAGAAATGCCAAACCGGTGTACAGAAGAAGACGCGACGGTGGTCGCCAACGGACAGGCAGCTTGAACGCTCTATTTAAAATGTACGCAGTCTGGGAAGATTAAAACGTAAACCAAGAAGCGTACGAATGAATGATAGTGACGAACGATTCGACACGGACAACGATTATAGTAAGTGAATGCAGGAAGAAAAAGGCTCAAAAGTACAATTGAGAGAACACATTACATAGATAGATCATGAGTTAGATTTGACAAGCACATATTGAAATAACCCGGTAGAATATCGCGGCACATTTGGACAAAGTGAGATCCAGATAAAAAAGAACCCGTGCAAAGTTCAGTTAACTAACTGGTATCAATGGCACCAAAATATGTGGGATTTAGTCGCCGTGATTCGTGTTGAGATGACAAAGATGAAGAGAAAAGGTGATAAGGGACAACCCTGGCGCACCATGCTTGTTGGGTGGGGTTCAGGGGACAGCAAGTCTATGCCTTGAAGGAGAGCTATGAGAAGAAAAGGGAGTTAACGCCGCATAACCTCCGATAGACAGGTTACAGGCTAAGCAAAAACATCATAGTGGGGCATCGCTATTAGTGTCTGTCTCACATCTTGACGAAGAGCAGGGGGGAGATCAATGAAAATTCAGGCAGAAGCCTACCCAGTTTTCATTGATTCAAATATGCAAATACCAGTGTGCCGAAGAAGAACGACGCTGTTAGGAAGCATCGATGAAGTGGTAATAAGCACAACGCATCGGTAATATTTGCGTAAAGCATCGTGACACTTCACAAAAATAAGTATAACAATTACCACCAATCTAAGGGTAGGTTTTCAGTTGCTCAAATAGTGCTAGACAGAGCGGCTAGGCTAACAACAAATGTGCGACCATCACCTTGCAGTAAGTATGGAGGAATGCTGTCGGCTTAAAATTTCATGTTCGTTTTGTGTGGGTCTCCCGGTTCGCAGCAAGCCTACGGAAGAGGATTGAAGACAACGATCGTGTCACATGTAGCTAAAAAAGTCCGTGCGACTTGCACTGGTGAGGTTAACGATTAGCTTTAACTGAACTGAAAGATTGCACGACTTATCATACCACTGTAAGTAAAACGCTTATCCCACAGATTGTCCGTAAACTGCAGATGAGAAGACGTGAAAAATCTAAACATATTATTCTATTGTTATGTTGTTCCTGCTTGCAGTTTTGGTGTTTAATGTGGTTGGCAGTTTTGCTTAACCGAGGGTTGACATAGCTTATCAGTTGCCAGTCGAAGAAAACGTTTGACTCTCTACACGGCATTGTTTATGGAAAATCGGCATTGAACAAAAGCATGATCAGAGTTTATGAACGTTTTCCGTAAAGAGTGATAGCCCAAGATGGAACTGTGCCATCGGAAACATATGGCAATGTGATTTAATTGAGTCCATCGTTAGACAGCTATCGGAAGACTGAAGTGAGATCGGCGCCCGCTGTGTCTGAAGTCTGTCCTTCTAAGCTGCCGGTGCTCCATGTACAGTTGCGGCAAACGCTCGCCATTGTCTATGGATTTAAACCGGAGCGCAAACTTACCACATACCAGAACATCTGAGGTGCTCAGACGATGTAGTTGAGCAATCATATCACCTACAACTAGAATGATACGAGAAATGACAGTTCAGGAGCAACGAGCTGAGTTCGCAGTAAAAAGCGCCTTAGGTATATCTGGCTACGTATACTGTGGTAGCCGCCGCTTGAGTGGGTCGACCAATTTATCGATTAGGACAGCTCACTTTCTGCCTCTCTGATTCGCTAATCTTTGTCGCGCTTCACCAGCCTATCCCGCTTCAACTTTGCACTGCACCGAGTAGGGTCGTTAGGTGACCTTCATCGATTATACCTGTCCGTTGAACCTTTGTCCTCACCGGACGAGCCTGTCTGACCATTTCCTTCTTTGTTTATGTGCATCTGTGAGTCAGTTGGTGAACGCGCTGCAAAGGCCAACTTCACACTTCCTTGAGGCTTACCCAACCCGCATCCCTTTTTGGACCGGTGATCAACCAATCCCACCGCTCTACCCATCTTATAAACACGTCGTGTATCTTAGTAGTGTGCGCACTGAAGCTGGACTTGTCAACTCGGACCAAACGATTGTCATTTTAACTGTCATGAATTTGGAAGCATAATTGTCAAGGTATTTATTGTATATGCTCATTTATTCATTTGTACACACTACCGTTATCCAGTTCCGGATTTGATGTTTCTTTGATCCCGGTGGAAACGCGTCACTCGAACCTTCCAAGCAAATTTTGTTGCTTACACTTAGTACTCGCATATACACATCATCATTGCGGACAAGTTGACGTCATCCGACATCACCAATGCTATGCGGGCAGTAATGATCAATTCTTGAGGGTGCCACAGATACTCAGACCGAAAGATCCAAGTCTCGATTCCATAAAAAGGAACGCTCTCGCTGTGACTTTGTAAACACGGCCTTTTAGATGAAGGAAAACACCTTTCTGACGCCAACGATGTCGCAGATTCAAGAAGGCAGTTATGGCTTTTGCAATACGTGAACGGACTTCGGTGGTTATGAGTCTCTCGTTGCTGATGCAGCTACCAAAGTGAGTGAATTGACCAACTACCTCGAGCTCTTTGCTATCATTTGTTAAGGGATCATCAAGTGGTTAGTGGTCCTGCAACGACACACACTTTGAAGGTGCGAAGCACACACCAAATGGTGGATCGCTCCGGTGAGTTTATTCAGAGTGGACTGGGCCGCCCCGAAATCCTTAAACAGCAAGACAATATCGTCCGCCTAATCAAGAGCAACTAGCTTTTCACCAGGAAGCACTACAACGTCTGCATCGTGAGACTCCGCCATGGAGCACTCCATGATGGAGTCCACGATGAAATTGAGCAAAAATGGAAATCTGGACAACCCTGACGATCGTCACTTGTGTTTGGAAAGATATCTGCTAGGTCCCAGTAGACCCAGATGCAACCTGTGGGGTTCGCGCACACGTTAAGTAAAGCGTTCACATATTTCGTGGGAACGCCTTTCCACGCAAGTACTTCGAAAAGCATGCATCGATCGGCTAACTCGGACGCACTCGAAGTCCAGAAACACAGTTATTGTCGGATTGCGGCACGTGTGGTGTTGTTCTAGCATCTGCCGCAAAGTGAGTATATGGTCTATACAGCCTTGTCCTGAGCGGAAGCCTGATAGCAATTCACTAATCTGGGATTTTCGTTCCGCAATGGGGCGAGGAACGAGAATGGAGGCCAGTAAATTTCTCACCACCGGCGTTACGATTGTACTCCTATGGTTAACACAGTCGGTACGACTAATCTTGTATATCGCCACTGTAGTCTATTCACTCCAGTAAGCTGGGATGGCCTCTTCCTTCCAGACCTGTTCGAACAGGGGGTCGGTGTTTTGCAGTGGACCTCATCACCATCCCTAACTATTGCAGGCGCGAGGAAACCCCGGCCAGCAGCACGAAAACGATGGTGGGTTGTGGTTGCGTTTCGGACCCGAGCCGCTAAACTAACCGGCAATGGGTTACCCTGCACCGTCTGAGTAGGAAGAGGTTCAGTAGCAGGGGGCCGACTGAATTTATCTTAAAAGTGTTCCGCCCAACGAGCCGTACGGTGCTTCTTATTGCGTATCAGGACACCCGCACTGACTGAGATTGTCTCACTGAGGCCTGGTATTCTGGGACCAGTGCTGCGGATCGGCTGGAAGAGCTTGCGATACTTGACTACTGTTCCCACCTCCTTCAATTCTAGTGCGCGACTGGTCCACCAAGCTTCCTGGTCAGCGCGCAGGCTCTGGTTTAGTTCGCGCCTAACAGCCCATCTAGTTACAATGTGATCAGAGATAGCCGGGAGTTTTCTCCTGGATTCCAACAGATTCATTGCCTCGGATATCCAGTGACTGGTGCGATGACGATTGATATTACCACAAGCAGATGCTCCTGCATGGTAGCCTGAATCCTATTCCACTGAGGCTCAGTGTCATTAGGACAAGAGTGCAAGTTCTGTACGCATGAGATCCTGAAAAGCTTGCGTGGTTGAAAACGGAGGTATCTTCCCAAGTGCTAATCGATGGAGGCGCTTGGTGCCCCCCTCCCCGGCAAAATTCACGGAAAAGCGATAACATGCCAAGACATGATCCGAGTCGACGCAAGTACCCCAGAACGAGCGACAGTCTAGTAGGGAACCATGTCACCTGTAACTTATAGCAACGTGATCTATTTGAGTCCATCACCGGTCAGTTATAGGTAGACGCCAAGTGGCACATCGGCGTTCACAGTGTCCGAGAGGGGTGCTACTAATAAACAACCGGTGCTCAGCACACAGCTGTAACAGACGCTCGCCGTTGTCTAACGGTTCGGAGTTAAGCCCATACTTACCAACTAGCTGAGCTTCTGAAGTGGTCAGATGACCTACTTGCGCATTCATATCCCCTGCAAGAACCATGATGTTTGAACTGGCAGACTTGCGTGGCATCGTGTTCAGTTCCTGGTGGAAGGCGTCCTTGGCAGCATTAGAGCCGCAGTCGGTGAGGGCATAAGCGGTAACCACAAGCGGAAGGCTTCTAGTGCGACTTCGTGAATCAAGCTTAGTTGATGTCATTAAACGGGCTGCACACAAACAGCTGTTCACGGGAATCCAACCAACTGACGATGGCTTAGCTCTGGAGCTGAGAACGATGCTCACACCAGCTTGACCAGTGGTTGCCGTATCAGCGCCTCCGGATGCCTGTAATCAATAGCGTTAGGGTAAATCAGGCGCGGTTAATTCAACAACGTAGTTTCGGTCAAACACCACACGTCACTACCCCGTGTGTCCAACGTGCGTGCGAATGCAGATTGTTGAACTATTTGTTTTAGAGTGCGAACATTGAACGCCGACAGGGAAACAGGACAGCGTGGCCTTATAAGGGAATGTTGCGAATGGGCGTCAAGCGGGTGGTGTGGGAAGATAGCTGCAGATGGTGCGAATCCAGTGGCATTGCGGTTGCTGTCAATTAAACTGGGAGTCAGAAGGAATGCTAGTAATGGGGGTTTGGAGGGAAGTAAGAGAAACAATTAGAAAGGAAAGGAGAG